TGTTCTGGATTTTCTATTTTAAGAAGCAAAAACTCCGGCGAAATTCATTGCAACAAACCCCATATGCACGCTGAGGGATAGCACGTAAGAAACACAACAACCACCACCATTATCATATTCATCCATGGAAAGATGCTGTAGAGTTTAATGTCTCTGGATTCCCCCTCAACACCCCTCTTCGGCTTCGTATCCGCACTTCATCTCTCAACATGATTTCTCCCCTCCTTCAAAACCAACCGCCCGATGACAAGCCCACCGTCACCGTCCCTACTTGTCCGGCGAAAAAGCTCGCTCGAACTCCGATGGTGGTTTACAGGGAGAGAGACGGAGACTTCGATTTCCGAAGAGGGGAAATGTTGGAGGAAGAGAAAGGAATTAGCCAGCAACAAGAGATCGATTTGGTCCACGAAAGTGTCAGCCTCATCGAGTACGTCGCTCGGCTCAGGGATTTCAGAAGCACCCAGAGACAAGAATGTTACAGCCTCGTCAGGCCGATGAAGAGTTTGTTGCCGTTCTTCGACGAGATTCGGCTCCTTGGCGCTTGCATTCCTCCCAGAGGCGTTGTTACTTTGTCCAGGTTGAAGAAAGTTCTTTGTTTGGCGAAAAAACTCTTGACAACTTGCAGTGATGGTAGCAAGATTTTCCTGGTGAGAATGTTAATTTCTACATTTCGAGAAGAAAATTTTTCGCTTGCTTTGAGATGTTTTCATTTGTGATTCAGGCATTAGAGACTGAGGCAATGATGGTCAAATTCCACGTCGTTTACGAAAACTTATGCCAAGTTCTTGATGAGATGCCGTTCGATGAAATTGATGTTTCCGTGGAAGTAAAGGAGCAGGTATGAATCAAATGTGTCATGTTTCTGTTTTTAAAGGCTAATTTTGGGATGTGTTTATTCGAATCTCGGATGTTGTTCAGGTGGAGCTAATGGTGACACAATTACGACGAAGCAAACGGCGAAAACATACGCAGGATATGGAACTTGCAGTCGATTTGATGGTAGCATTCTCGAAAACCGATGAAAGGAAGGCTGATATAGCCATCATAGAAAGGCTAGCCAAGAAACTAGATTTGCATACCGTTGAGTATTTGAAGAAAGAAACCATAGCTATAAGGAAACTTGCCGAAGAAAGAGGCCGAACCTCAGAGTGTGTAGTGCAGATTATCGAAATTCTCAACAAATTCAAACGGATTTTAGGCATGGAAGTAACCAACATTTTCGAGGAACCCGTCAAGCCTAAAATGTTGGAGAGGTCCGAATCTTTGGTGATTCCTCACGAGTTTCTGTGTCCGATCACACTCGAAGTAATGAGAGATCCGGTTATCATAGCAAGTGGACAGGTAACAATATCATGTCGAATAATTTACACATTATTAGCATGCTACATTATGCAAAACTTGTCTGTTTGATATATGTGTCCTGGTTCAGACATTTGAGAGAGAGAGCATACTGAAGTGGTTTGATTCAAACAATCGGACATGTCCGAAGACGAGGGAGACGCTGGCTCATTTGTCGGTAGCGCCGAATCATGCCCTCAAGAACCTTATCACACAATGGCGTGAGAAGAACAATTATAAGCATCCCAGTACAGAGGATCTTGAGTCTTCGCAAGGGTCCTCTATTAAAGAGGAAGAAATCACATCTTTAGTTGAAGAACTATCTTCCACTGAATTAGAAGTGCTGTTAAGAGCAGTAAAGGATATTCGTATGCTTTCTAAGGAGAACACGGAGAGCCGAGTTTTGTTCGCCAATTGCGGCGCAATCCCACTGTTGGTGCGGTTGTTGCCCTATCCGAATCATAAAATTCAAGAGCATGCCGTGACATCTCTATTGAATTTATCCATCAATGACACTAACAAGAAGCTCATAGCGCAAGAACAAGCCATACCTGCTATAATCGACGTCTTACGAAATGGAAGTATGGAGTCGAGAGAGAATTCTGCCGCAGCTTTATTCAGTTTATCGATGCTCGACGAGAACAAAGTAACGATCGCTCTCTCCGAAGGCATCCCCGCTCTAGTCGAATTGTTAGAAACTGGGACGGTTAGGGGCAAAAAAGATGCCCTCACTGCCCTATTCAACTTATGTCTCAACCAAGCCAACAAGGCAAGGGCTATTGATGCTGGCATTGTGCCACCATTACAGCTCTTGCTCAAGGATAAGCGAACCGGGATGCTCGATGAGGCCCTCTCCATGTTCTTGCTTCTAGCAACTCATCCACAAGGTAGACATGAGATCGGAGAGCTTTCATTCATCGGAATGCTGGTCGATATAATCAGAGAAGGAACACCGAAGAATAAGGAGTGCGCGGCCTCGGTTCTTCTGGAGTTGAGTTTGAATAATTCGTCTCACATTCTTGCAGCACTTCAGTTTGGAGTTTACGAGCATTTAGTTGAGATGTCCCTAACCGGAACAAACAGAGCAAAAAGAAAAGCTAATGCAATTTTACAGCTTATGAGAACGAGTGACCAACTTCCTTAACAGCTTTTAGACTGCATTTATATATATTTATAATGCAGTCCGTTCCCTGTTCTTTTCATTTTCAGACTCAATTCATGAAATTGCCTAAAGTTAGGTGCACGTTCCATTCCATTCATATTTTAAAGTGGACTTGTTATATTCGGAAAAAAAATCATTAATCAATGAATATACGATACGTGATCTTTCATTCTCTTTTTATTTTTCAAAATTTATTTTCTTCTGTTAGTTACTTATTTTGTTGATGATGCTCACATTGAAATTTTTTTTTGTTTATCTCATTTAAAAAAATTATTGTTAACATATTTGTATACACTAAGAACTTTTTTAATATTTGGGTAAGATAAGGTGAAGGTAAATACATTTATATTATTGGTTATGTGAGTTATGCTAAAATGAAGCTTGTGATAAACCTCCCATGAATTATACTATACTCTATGCATGAACAAAGGTCTGATGATGATGGTAAGAAATTACTATGAATAAGCCTTGATAAAGAGTTTACCATAATGATAAATGTGATAAGAAATCATGTCACATTATGTTGAATGAGTCTTGGTGTACCCTATGAATATATATGTATATGTATTAATCATAAATGCAAATTATAGTGAATGGAATTGTCCAAATAATCTAGATAGTGGTCTTATTGTAAAATGACATGTCTAGGGTCGAACTACATTGTTGGACCTACAGGTTCATGCAGCACACGAGAGCCATTTTGTGGGTGTGAGTTGGCACTATGGTACGTTTTAGACCATTAGGTTCGTCGATAACATGGAGCGATTACAATTTGTGCCTTCAGGTTCATCCACCCTCGCTAGAGGAGTTTCGCATTGGTGAGTCTTGGTATTATATGGCAAGTCAAATTGGCCTACGTCTTTTACTATAACTCTCATACGGATTGCTACGATTGTACTTTTAATGATAATTAAAAGGAAGCAGATGAATTTAATGGATTAATAAGCCATACCTTAGTTTAATGTTATATCATGTTGCTTTAATTTTATAATTCATTATATTGTTATGGATTCTTATTTATCTCACTAAGTGGAATACTTAATGTGTATGTTTCTTCACACGTATACACTTTAAAAGATCATCAACTTGATCGAGTGTTGCATCATCTAACGAGGGCCTCCACCACAATCAATCTATTATAACTGTCTTTTTTTTTTGTATTTATTTTAAGAATTTCAATAGGGACATGTATATTAATGATGTTTAAATATTCGGTATTAGATTTGTCATGAGATGAATTGTATCGGTCCATAAGAATGTATAACTTAATAGATTATTGAGTATGTAATTTAGATTATTGAGTATGTTTAATAGATTATCAGTCATCTTTAGCGTTTATGTAGGGGGTAGAAAGATCCTTATATATTGATTTGAGGTTTAACTAGTATTATAAGACTCCTTGGGTGTCCATGAGTGTTTTGATATAGTTTGGGGTAAGTTAGAGTGAATTTTAACTTTTAACTTGGTTATTTATCATTTGGTATCAATATTAATCTTGCAGTATATGTATCAAGTTAAGATAGGAAAATTTTAAGTTTCTAAGTGAGGAGTTTTAATATTTTGTTCTTATGGTATCAATATCATCCTTCCAATAGGCCGGCCTGGCCTATTCCCACCCCTAATACCATATCATTAAATTATACTTTAAGGTTAAATTTGATATTGATATCCAAGGCAAGTATCGATATCATAGGGGTAGTATTAACACCCGTATGTGGTTGTTGATACCAATACTCAAGAAAGACATTAATACTATTGATTAGTATCGAAACTCATAAGTGGGCATCGATGTCAATAGAAATTATTGGAACTTCGAACCTTAATTTTGTATCAATACTTTTAATGAGTATTGATACTTTTAGGTTTGGTACCGATATTTATATTTGGGTATCGGTTCTACCATAGTGAAATGTGAAAGAGTTCTTAGATTAATCTTTATTCTTCATAAGAGGATTAAATGCTTGAGCTTGATCCTAAATGAGATTTTATTGGATATTAATAGCCGGCTTACCTTATTTTGTTGAAGTTTTATAAGTGTTTTGTACGTGATTATAGTTGTCTTGAGATAAATTCATATAAGGTAATCATTTATTAAGGTGAATCTAATATTATTTATTAAGGTAATAATTTATCCTGTGCATAACTTAATTGGTGAACAACTTGATCTAATATACCAATAGTTGGTCTAGTGAGATGAGACACTAGATTCTTTAAGTAAAATCAGGGGTTCAAACCCTGACGTTTGCGAATGGAGCAAATTGGGTTGAGAGTCTCGTCCTCGTCTCTGTAATATCCGATCTGGATTAATCGATCAATAGAGCGGACTGATGATTAATTAAAAAAATCAATTAATACTGAAATTTACATGCATACAATGCCTGATATTTAAACAGGAAAATTTCCATTGTGGTTAACAGTAATCCATGCTCTTGACTGTGACATAAAACTAGTCCTCAATCGCGGAACCAAATAACTATCGGTGCGACCTAGTCGTGGAGAACTGTTGATTATTTGTTTTGTACTAAGTATGGTACTTGACCTCATAATTATTCGATAAATGTATGTATCAGACAATTTAAATACTCTCTCAAGAATAACATTTACCATTCGCGTTTTCATTCTATCTCTAGTCTCTCTAATCTGAGACAAATCTTTAACTGTTTTCAAAAGAGAAACCAAAATGCACCCAATTGCAACAATCTTAAACAAACAACTATCTAACCTTGCATTCGCCAGTAATTATTTTGAGAGTCTCTTTGTTGAATTCGGCCTCCGCTTTAATGGGAGGCCCTTTGAACATCAGAGTAACTTAGAGAATGTCTTTGAATCCCGGTACGGTATTGAGAATCCGGCTGAAACCAGTTTCGTTTTTCAGAATCCGACTGAAACCAGTTTCGTTTTTCAGAATCTGGCTGAAACCAGTTCTGTTTTTTAGAATCCGGCTTGCAATGCATCGGAGACCGATTATCGTTAGCCTTCGACTTTGATTTGCTAGCTTTACTGCTAACTTTTGAATTTCCGTTGACGGCATTGATCTTTTGTAGTGTCTCCAACACCTCTTCCATGGATGGACGGCTTCTGGGATCAGATTCCAGACACTTTAAGATGAGCTCACCGGCTTGCAATGCAGCTTTGATAGGGTATTTTCCTTCTAGCTTGGGGTCCATTATTTTCTTCAGCTTTCTCTTCTCCGTCAATGAATATTTGGCCCATTCTACCAAATTGTGCTTGCCACTGGGTCGATTCGTATCCAGGGCCCTTAGGCCCGTTAACATCTCCAACAACACAACTCCGAAACCATACACATCACTCTTAACATACAAATTGCCTACATTATTTTTTGTACATATTAATGTGAGTTATAATCCTATTCCATAGTCATTTTAATTTTTATTCTTTCTTTTGGAGTATTTTGATATTAATATTTCATTTTGGGACAGAAAGCCCTTCCTTAGATAGAAATTGTAAGACAACCAACAATCATCGGTTCAAAATAAGAGTATTTTTATCCTAAAATGAAAGGTTGTAGGCTAAGATGCTCTAAAGAAAAAAATAGGGACTAAAATGATTATTTAATCAAATGTTAAAGACTTTTTTATTCTAAAATAAAATATTTTGTAGGACCAAAATACTCTAAAAAATAAATAAAAATTAAAACAACTAACTAATCAAACGTTTGAGATATATTTTTGGCGTTATATCGATTATATAGTGCAAGGGGAGGGTATTTAAGAAGAAAGAAAGGTAAATTACCTGTGGCAACATATTCAGGATCAGCATAACCATATGTGCCCATAACCCGTGTAGTCACATGCGAATTGCCATCTATAGGGCCCAACTTTGCCAGGCCGAAATCAGAAAGTTTGGCGTTGTAGTCCTGGAACACACTCAAATAAGCTTTGTTAGTGTAATCTAATTTAGAATAACTGTATCTACAGAGTGGGCTAATTATAAATAAATTTAAAGTTTCTGAACGGGCAATCTTATAGTATTAAAAAAGAATAGCTAAAACGGAGAGGATGGCTTTGAAGTTTGAATATACCCCATCCAGCAAAATATTGGAGGCTTTGAAGTCCCTGTAGATAACACACTTCTCTGATGTGTGCAAAAAGGTTAAGCCTTGGGCAGCCCCCATGGCTATTTTAAGCCGAGTTCCCCATGTAAGAGGCTCTGCTCCTCCTGCTGCAATTTGATATATAAACAAAACAGCTTTAAGTTTCAGCAATCTCTCAAAACAAAGACAAAGAAGCAGTGTTTTGTGGGTTAAATGACATACATCTGAAGAGGTGGTTTTCCAAGCTGCCCTTTTGCATGAATTCGTAGACGAGGAGGAGCTGGTTCTCCTCCCAACAGTATCCCCGCAACTTTACTAGGTTTGGATGGCTTAACCTTCCCAAAAAATTCACCTCTGCCTGTCCTCACACCCAAAATCAACATCATTTTATGAGACCCTAAATGCAATTCTACTTATAATCTTATATATTTTTTAAAAAAATTAATTCATTTCTTTTTATTTTACAAGCAGAGGGGAGCACTTGATAAAATTGAGCCGAGTCGAGACAAAAAATTTCAACTTATCAGAGTATATTAGTTCTATTTTATAACTTAAACTTTATTTAAAAAAATTTCGAGTTGAACCGAGTCGTTCATGTTTATGTTTAGATTAAATTTTAAACATTTATAATGTTATGATACTAATTGATTATAGTTTAAACAACTTTTTACAACCATATATGATATACATATATATTTTTTCATATTTTTTCTAATGTGGTATACATATATCATGCAGAGTTGAGAAACTCGACTCAAAGTTGAAAATCAATCCACTAATTACTAAATATTTCTGATTTATTCGAGTCCTATTTTATAACTCAAATCGAATTTAAATTTCTTTAGTTGAATAGAGTCAAATCGAGCCGAATATTTTAACATCGAATTGAGTCGAAAATTTCAATTTTATAAAAGTAAGTCTAGTTTTGTTCAGCTCTATTTAAGACTGCCAAAATGCAATTTTATAATATATTAATTTATAATTCTATACTTCCTGAGGACTTATGAACAATTTTGTCACCCTAAAACTTTCATAAATTAAGGTTAATATTCCAACTATCTTGCATTAAGAAAATACTACATTTTGATTTTGGTAAGGCAATAATTATCCCACAATACATTATATAAAAAAGGATGAATTGTTATAGACTTATGACTCTTCATTCATCTTTATGCATATTTTGATTTGATTACTCATATTTTATGTTATAATAGATTGTTTTTGGATAAAATCTAATACAAGTCATTGTATTATACTAAGATATTTATTTTAGTCATTGTAAATTTTAAATGTTAACATGTTAGTTCAAAACGTTAAAAACAATTATTAGTTTACTTTAATATTTTGGTTTTAACATGATTACATTATTATTTTATTTGTTCATTTTATAAATAAGAGAGACATAAAAGAATGTTTGAACTAAAGATTTTTATAATAGAGAACTTAATGACATTTTTATATGTTATAAAGATTTGTTGTACACTTTAATAAATTATTTTAAAGAAATTATTAAAAACATTTTTTAAAATGTGGAGGTAGTAAAATTATAACATTATTATTAAGTATAGAGAACATGAAATATAATTCTTTAAATTAATTTATTTTTCTTAGGAAATAAAAGGGTAAATTACCTAAATTATCAATTTTGATCTATTTTAGTATCTAAACTTTAATTATTTTCAAAATCATACTTACAGTTTAGTTTTCATTCCATTTTGACACACACATTCAAAATTTAACGTTAAGTTTAAAAAAAATAAAAGTTTTGGTACTAAAACAGAAAAAATGATAGGTTTGGTACTAAACATATTATATTTTTAACTATAGGGTATTAAAATGAAATAAAACTAAACATTAAATATGATTTTAAAAAAAATTAAAAGTTTAAGTATAAAAAAATATATTAAAACTAATATTTTAGTAAATACTTGGTTTACCCTTACTTTTAAAAGAGAAAAAGAAGAGAAATACCTTCCATTCTTGCAAACCTTGAGAGCTATCGGGATTTGATTTCTTGACGGCAACCGCCATGCCAACGCTAACTTTTGAAGGGGCATAGGTTTTCTCATCCACCCAACCTTTGAATACTCTACCGAAACCGCCCTCACCCAGCACCGTAGCCGGCTTGAAATTTCTGGTGGCAGCCTTGAGTTCTGCCAAAGTGAATATTTTCAAGGTGATGCTCATCAGAATCTTTCCGCTTGCGGGAAAAGCCGCCTTTTCACCCTTCTTGCTTCTTCCTTCAGCGCTACCGCTCTCTTTGGTTGTGTCCGGCGCCGGCGGCGAACTATTTTGTTTGCCGTCTTTTAGTTTCGACGTACCTGGGCTGGATGGCTTTATGGTGGACTGGCTATGGTGATCAACTTGTTGAGTTCCAAAGCAGTTCCCCATAACTGATATAATAAGAAAACTTTGTCTTTATGTTTGCAGTTTCGATATATTTTCTTTGAAAAGGCAGAATTAGATATTGGAAGGGAGACTTTTTTTGTTATGCTAATTTCCAGGTTCGAGGAAGAAGAAACGAAAGGGCGAGGAAGCAACCAGCTGTAATCGATGTGGGACTTTGGTGTTTTGATCGGACTTTTTCCTCTGTCTCTGTCAAATAGAAATATATCTCTTCTCCCTCGATCTCTCCTCTTACTGTTTGTGTCGCTTATTTCACGTTTCAACCTCCGTTCTTATACTCCTTTCTCTAATCTATCTAAATCTTCGAATCTTTTGAATTTAGGTTTTTCTTTGAATCGAATTTTAAATTTTTATTTGTAGTTTAAATCAAACATAATTTTAAATTTATAAATTTTTGAATCAAGTCGAACTTTATTTTAAATTTTTTGAATCGAGTCCGACTCAATAATACCAAACTCGATTTATTTCATTTACAACCCTATCTCTAAATGTGCTAAATCATTGAACCAAAAGAATTATAAAATGTTTTTTTATAGGCTAATGGTCAAAACGCCCTTAAAAAAGTCAAGAACAATCTATTCATTAGGGAAAAAATAATTAAAACATTTAGTAAAAATTAATTATTTATATTTAAATTTAAGAATTTGTATAAAGCTAATTATATTAATATATAGATTAAAAGTGTATCGATGCAAAGCCTGCCAAGGGATTAACTAATAGAAAAATTAATGAAACGGGAAAAAGGAGGAAGAAGAAGAAGTCAACTGCAAATTGGGGCCAAAGCCTTGAGATTTGTGGGTGGGACTGGGCCCTATCATTGGCTTATTTCATTTTCATGACACCTACAGAAACTGATGATTAGTTCATTGTATTGCTAAAGTCACTAAACGTCTTCTTTTTTTCCAATAAAGTTGTAGATTGCTTTCACAATTGATGTTGAAATTTAATATTAAATTTATATTATTTATTTATCGTATTCCAATAGTATTATTTATATATTTTTAGTTAGATTTAAGGTTATATAATAAATTTATCATGGTTAAATTAGATAATAATCAAGTAAATATTGAGTGAAATATTTTTTTTAAACTAAAAAGCCAGCTTTATTACAATCCTAAAAAGTCTGAAAACAAACAAGTGCTTACAACTAGCACCCACTAAAACACGCAACAAAACACCCTGAACCTAAAAAACACCACAAAAGTTGGCTTCCTCTTCAGCTTTTCCAAATAAGAAATTGAAACTCCCGAAGCTCGAAGAAAACAAAACCCAATAATCAAAACTGGGGAAACTCATCGCCACACTGTCAGAAGGATTCAATCAACCTTCTATCCTCCTCCGCCTAAAGTTCGACACACCTTGGACCTTTTTCCACCCAAAATCGATCCTCCATCCCTGTCTTAATCGCCCTGCAAGCAAGTGGATTGCCATGTTACTGGCCCTAGGAAGGGAAAAAAGTGACAAGAACGAAAAGCTTCTCCTCGTTTCCTTGCTTCCCAGGTGAGCGCACTAATTCCAGAGAGGTCGTCTCTTCTGGAATTGATCTTGTTGATGGCCGTTCGAGAGTCCCCCTCTATTATCACCTCATGGAAACCCATCTCTGCCGAAAATAGAAGAGCATGAATCGCCGCCTTCTCCTCTGCCATGAAAGCTAAGGTACTTTTCTTGCTGAATCTCCTACATGCACTGAGTATATTACTTTCCATATCTCTCGCTATTATTCCTGACCAAGCTTCATTTCTATTATGCACAAATCGAGCATCGAAATTGGTCTTCACATGGTTCGGAGGAGGCTTCTAGCTACCAGTCAAGAGGGTTCGTGGTCCATGGAGTTGTTCGTTTGCCTTGTCAAAATCGTCGCATTGAGTTCGGATTAAGGTAATTACTTCCTCACATCTCATATCCTTCCCCTGATGTAACGGTTTATTTCGGGCGAACCAAATAGCCCAAATCCCTACTAAATCTATGTATGCTTTTCATTAGAATTATGATGAAAAGCCAAGATAACCATGCACTAAAATCTAAAGAGTTAACCCATATAGGCCAATTAAAACCCAAAGCGCTCCAAACTTGTCTCGGTAAAATACAATCTCTCACTGCATGAGCATTATTTTCTACTACCTAAGCACATCCCGATCAACTTGGGTCATTGATAATACGCCTCTGATACATGTTTCTTTTAGTGGGGACATAATTGCAGATGAACTTCCAAATTTGAAGTTGGATTTTTCTTTGACATTTACAAGCCCACATCGCCTTAAACAAATCCATATGATGTGAGAACTCACCTGCTGGAGTTAAAAGCAATTTATATGCACTTCTCACGCTAAACAATACCGAACATTTCCTTCCCCATATGCGACAATCCTTCTGATTAAAACAAGATATGAGAATTTTGCAAATCAAATCAGCTTCAGTTTCGACAGAAAATTGCCGAACTAAATCCACTCTCCAAGCTTTTGAATTCACATCAATCAATTCTACCACCCATTCCACTGATTCATTACGAGGTGATTCCATTAATTGTTGTTGATCATATGGCAACCAATAATTGTTCCATATAGAAATACCTCTCCTATTGCCTACTTCCCATCGGACTCCCATTTCTAATAAACCATTTGCACTTCAAATACTCCTCCATATGTAGGATGGCGTAGCTCCTAATCAAGAAGAAAAGAACGTACCTGCAGGAACATACTTAGCTCGTAACAAATGACCAACAAAAAATGTAGGATTTTGGATTAGTCTCCATCCCCGTTTTTCTAAAAGGGCGATATTGAATTTTTCCAAATCCTTAAAGCCTTATCATCCCTCCTCCATTAGTCTGCTTAAAGACTCCCAAGAACACCAGTGTATTCCCATATTTTGTTTGGACCTTTTTCCACCAGAAAAAGCGACATTATAGCTTCCAAATCCAGACAAATCGTTTTAGGCAGCAAAAAACAATTCATTGCATACAATGGGATTGCTTGCAAAACAATTTTAATAAATACATATTTACCCCCTGGGACATCACCCGAACAATTCAACTTCGAATACGGTTACGATATTTATCATATTTGCAAAAGCCCCTCTCTTATTCTAACCAAAAATCGCAGGGAGACCCAAATACAGCTCAAGGTTTGTAGACATTGGAACGTCCAAAATTCTCCGAATACTGTCTCCTATCAACTGACACATTTGCACTGGAAAGGATACCCGATTTATCCAAATGAACTGGTTGTCCCGGACACTCCCCATAGACCGATAGTAACCTTTTAACCCGCACAACCATTTGTTCAGAGGCTTCGAGGAATGAATCTCTCTCCCACCACACCATTCAGGACAACAGAATTTGATACTGAGCAAACACATTCTTGAATTTTCCCAATCCACTCTGGACAGAAACCCATCTGTGCCATTACTGCCCATAAAAATTCCCATTCGACTCTGTCATAAGCTTTGCTCATGTCCAGTTTGAGGGTAAAAAAAAACCTTTAGCTCCCTTTCTTTTCTACATAAAAGAATGCGAAACTTCGTACGCAATGATGATGTTATCCGAAATCAACCGACCAGGAACAAAAGCACTTTGTGCATCATCGATACAACCATCCATAAATTCCTGCATTCGTAAGACCAACATTTTAGAAATAAATTTATATAGCACAGCACACAAGCTAATTGGACGAAACTGATGTAACGAGCTTGGATTAGCAAATTTCGGGATTAGCACTATGTGAGTATGATTGATCTCTCCTATACTCGCTCGTCCTTCAACAATATCAGCACAGTAATTTGCCACCCCCTCTCCTATCACGTGCCAAAATCTATGGTAAAAAAGAGCATCGAAACCATCCTACCCCGATGCCTTCAAAGGACTCAACGCTTTAACCTCCACGTACACATCTTCCTTTGTAAAAGGTTTGATTAACATGTGATTTATATCTTCAGAGATACAAACTGAGATCCCATCCAAGATGTTATCTTCAAATCCCACAAAACTCGAAGAAAAAAGGGATTGAAAGTATTCCCGGGTAACATTATCCATACCGTTCACATCCTCCACTACCTCCCCCGCGTTAGTCTTTAGTTGCCGAATTGTATTTTCCCGTATACGGATCGAAGCAAACATGTGGAAAAAAACAGTGCTTTTGTCGCCATGCTTTAATCAATTGGCTCTTGCCCGTTGCTTCCAATACAATTCGTCCTTATCCGCTTCCATATTCAGCTGCAATTTTGTATCTACAATTTCCCCCAAAATCTCATCGGATGGGCCAAAATCCATAAGCCTTTTTAACTTACGATTCAAACTGACTTTCGTTACTTTTTTATTATGACAGATCTGTTTAAACCACCTGTCGTAACTGATTTTCGTCCGGACATGAATTTTTCTTGGCGGAAAAGTAATGTGAATGAATAAGTGGTTTTTAATGAAAAAAATGTTTTGGAGTCGCCATCGACCTTTTTGGGTTAGGTAGGTCGAATACCTAAAAGTTATCTTTTAAAATAGTTTTTAAGAAAACATCATTTTAAAAGATAAACTGATTTGTGTATAATCAAAATTTTATTTTTTTAGTAATAAAAAGGGATTCGTGGTCGGTTACGTTTGGGGAATGATTAACACCCCCACAACGCCCAAGATTGGTACCTGTCGATTATAAATTGTCTCTAATAGTGGAAGTTTAAGAATTCTAATATAAATTTAATTTACAATCATGTTATTTCAAATTCAATTAAATAATTCTAAGGAAAAATATATTAAAATAATTTTTATAAAACTAAAGTAAATATATATATACTTTGGGTTTTTATAAATAGGGTGTTTATTTATTTAAAAATATTAGAAAATGATATCTAGTTACTTTAAGACATACTCTTTCTTTAATATTAAAAAATAAATAAATAATAATAAGAATATGATAATTTTTCCTAAAAAATAATGTAAATCAAACTAAATTAAATATAATATTTTATTTATTTAAAAATAACATAAAAGAATATCTAGTTACTTTAAGACAATCTCTTTCTTAATATTAATTAATTAATAAATATTATTATTTAATCAATTTGTGAAATTAATCAAATAATACTTATGATTTTTTCATATATATATATATATATATATATATATATATATATATATATATATATCTTAATGTGTCTAAAATTAAATAAAGAGAAATAATTAAAGGGCTATATTTAAAGTATTGAAATATAAAGGACAAAAATAATAAAGTCAGAATTTGTAATTAAACAATGATCAAGATGTAAAAATTGGAAATATGGCATCATATTCATAAATAAAATAATAACATAATTAATTAATGACTAAAATGAAACAAAATAGAAATTATCATGCAAAAATCGAAAATAAAAATAAACAAAGAATATCGGTGACCAAAATAAAAAATACTCCTAAACTAGAATGGCTTATGGATGATTAACCCATTTTAAGCGTATTATCATCATTTTTGTCAGTAGCATTACTCTCGATAAATTAGGCTTCAAAATATTCTAGTTCTTTTAGAGTTCATGTTATTTTGGTCTTTTACAAAACAAGGGCATTTTTGTAATTTTACCTCATAGGTCTATTTTTGGTAATTTCTTATCCAACCAATCCCGATATTTAACGTTTAAAGAAAATTTATCAAAATTTTTGGATTTTAAAGTTAATTGCATTTATTAATAAATCATTGAACTTATAATTATTTCCGATCGATCTTCCAGTTTCTTACGCGAGCTATCTGAGTCATATTCGGTTATCGACTTTTTATCATATTCGGATCGAGTTTATAAATAATTTACAATATAAATGAGACCCATCATATTCATCCATGTATCTACCAATTTCCAACATAGTCCATAAAGCATGCATAAGGTAGTAATGTATTACCTCGATTTTTGTACCCCATCGATCGAACATTTAAACTCTATTCGATTACTCTAAAACATTAATTCAATGTCCAATAATTCCTCGGATACATAGCAGACAATTTTACGTTAGTTACTGAACTAATCAGAAAACCAAATTTGATTCCGAAGATAAATCAGTGAAAAACGGCTTACCGGATGCAAGTTTGGCAAAACGAACCTTGAATTTTGACTCAGGACGTCAAAATATATAAAAGTAGGTTCTGCCTGGACTGGTTCTAGAAATTTCTTGAACCGCCTGGAGACCACCACGTGCACTGCTGGCGCGTGCGGAGGCGACGGGGTTCGTTTCCACCGACCGATCACTCCACTACCTTCTACACACTCCAAATTACGAATATCAAACCTCAATTTCAACAAAATAAGCCAAACATTCATCGGAATCTTCAATTGAACTTACCCCAAATGAAGATCGACGATGGCATGTCAACGAGGAACAAAATTGATAGGGTTTTGCTCGCACGACACCGGTGAATACAATGGAGGTGAAGGTGAGGCGAGACAACGACGGAGGCGACCATAATCGATGAAGATATACTCAGAAATGGGGGTTTTCGATGAGGCTTTTCTTGGCTCTTCCACGGCGAACGTCGACGATTCACGACGGGATAAGGGTCGGGTTTTTGATCAGGATAAGGAAGCGGTTGTTTTAGGGGTAGTGGCGCTGACTATGACGGTCGGACGGTGGCGAAATCGGGTGATGAAAGGGATGGGAGTTAGGGATTTAGGTTGTTAATTTGGGGGAAGTTTGGGGTTAACCGATCGGGGGGAGTTTATTTTTCATTGGGTAATAAAAATGGTAAAATTCAGGTTCAAGTCCTTGAATTTCCAATACTTTATAAAATTATCTATAAGTTTCAAAAACTTATAATTTGACCGTTAAATTGGGGTGTGGCATAACTTATTGTCAATGTTTGATTAGTACAACAAAAGTTTTGTTTGTTGTTAATATTAGTGTCAAAAGACTTGATATTGATGTAGTGTTTGGTATCTTGTGGCACTACAGCAAAATAGGTTTGTATAAGTTTTTTTAACGGTGTTTTAAGAGTAAGCGTCTCAAACTTTACACATATTGTGGCAATTACAGCTAAAACAACACAAGATAATAATATTAGTGGCGTTTATATTAAAACGTCGCTAAAGAGCCGTACTTAGTGGTGTTTTTAGCCAAACACCACAATTTGTCAATGTTTTAGTGGCGTTTTTAATTACAAACACCGTAATTTCTGAGTCTTTTATTATCCCAGAACCTTTAGTGGCGCTTTTATTAAACGCCACAATTTTGTTTTTTTAAATAAACACCACAATTTGTCAGTACTTTAGTGACATTTAAATAAACACCGCAAATTTTGATATCTCCCAGATCCCTTTTTTCATTTTAGGTTTCTGTGCTTAATTTTTCCTTCACTTTTTCTCAAAGGTTTCTGCCGCTTTAACTTTTTCTCATTTTTTTGTTTCATTTTTCCTTTATTTTTTCTTAAAGTTTTTTGTTCTACAATTATGGCTTCGAAAAGTCGTCGTCGACGTCACAACTGCTGCTATTTATTCCATGTCAAAGTCTATGTAGATTTCAGTAATTCGTTCATTCGACGGCCAGGATTCAAGTCAGTGTTCTTGTATGATGAAATCTTAAGGTGTTTTTTTTAAGATTGAGTGATTTTGAGTGGCGCAAGAAGAAGTGGAGATAGAGGCGAAGGTGGTGACGGAGAATGGGAAGCTAGCGCAGATGGTGGTGAAGATTAGAAGAAAAGGAAACGGTGAGCTTATTGCTTTGGGTAAACAATGGATGGCTACCCATAAAGCTAGTTAAAAAGCTTTTTTATTTTATTTACAGAGATACCATTAGCTTTTGCAGTTAAAAAGCTGCAACTAAAACGAGACAAAACTCTTGATAACTTCATTGATAATTAAATAATTGGAATCATATAGATTTGTTTATTGTCTGCTTCAAGTGTCCTTTAGTGTTCCATGTGTTCTTGATAGCTATGGTTTTGGGTTGAAAGTTATAGATTAGTCCAATTTAAAGCTCGTGTGCCCTTATTTTAAAAAGAGGTAAATGACTCTTCTGGTCCCCTAGTTTCCATAACTATCCAGTTTTAAAAATGCAACGTAAGTAAAAATTGTAAATGACATTTACACATGTACACCTTGATGCAGAAAACATGCCATATGTTAAAACAAAACATCCTAATTAAGATTAACTCAATTAACATGAATGTTATTACACTACCTATAGGTTGCAAGTCAGAAAAAGAAACCATATGTCAATTTCATCTCGCGAATTAGTAAATAAGTGTATTATCATTGAAGCTTCGAATCTCGTGATGGATACTCTCTCACTATAAATTTTGTTTAGGTTTAATCTGGAACTTGTTCCATCTAGTTTAAAGCATGAATTATTAATGCTAAGTAGTGTTATTTCAGGATTCAAGCATTGATATTGTCACCTACGAGAGATTTGGCATCTCAAACAGAGAAAGTTATGTGAACAATTGGTATCTCAAATTTACGATGTTTATAAACATCTTCCACCCGAGCTTCAAGTACATGCCTCACTTTGTCTTATTTTTATTATAAGTAAAGGAACCACAAATATTATAACTTGTAAGTCTGATACTCCTATAACAGTTGTAAGTGAAGTTCTTAGGCATTGCAGGTTTATGTTGCATATTGTTTTCTTACTAGGTTTTAATGTTCATGAATTGAATATTAGTTATTACGATGTTATTGTTCTGACTTGTTGATGTTATCTTGCTACATTCTTACATCTCTTGTACAGTTACAAATGAAGAGTTTGAGTAACATACTAGTATTCAGTTACAAATGAAGTAGGATGATAATAGGAACTAAAGATACAGAGAGTGATAATTAAGAAAATGAAACAACTCTTTTTAGTATACGTGAGAAGAGCTTGTATGGGAGGTTTCTTATTGTCAACTGAGTAACTGACTCTCAAGTTCTAAATTGTACTTAGTATTAGTCAATTCACACTTGGAGTAGTGATAAATCCATAAAAATACTACTTTTAAGGCTTTTTTCACTTAAGTTATTGATTGTCTAAAGGTCATATAGTTCATTTTAGGTGCATGTAGTTTCATAGTTGCATTTTGGTTGTTGTGTTTTGTCATTGCATTTTACTTTGTGAAGGTGCTATATGATGGGATAGGTTTGGCTATTTGGTGATGTGCAAGAAACAATGAGCATAAGGCGAGCTAAGAAGAATGTTGCGACATCACAAGTTGCTAAAGCAAACTACAATACCTTGGCATTTCTAGCACAGAAAAGAATAAAAATATATTTTTCAAAAATGACAATTGTTATTAGCATGTGATTGGTGCTGATAACCACCTAAATGGAACCCACTACCACCTATAGAATCAATCTTCACACATTTGAAGTGTGTCTGGGGGTATGATGGGAATTTTTCCCAAAATTCCCTAAGAACATTCCTTAGATTTATAAAGAAAATGACACTATTTTAGAGGATATCTAATTCATCATCTTCTCCAACTATCTCTTCCTCAATTGAAGAAGCTCGACCTCGTTTTTCTTTTTCACATCCATTTTTTAGTGGTGTTCCTACATTGGTGAAGCTCGAGGGAGTGATATAGCATCTGAGAGAAGCTCACACTATAGCCATTCATGGGGCTTGAAGGAAGTGTTGGTCGTGTGCACCTTGTGCTTTCTTCTCTGAATTTTTCTCTATTTTTATTCTTGAAACTTTGATTGGAATATAAGGACGAATGAACGATTTGGTATACTACATGGTTTATTCGAACTCCACCATGAACTAAGTTATATTTGTTGGAGTTCATTTGATGGATGTTTTTAAACTTTATCTTTTAATGTTTGATTAATGGTTTCCTTTTTTCTTTACTCATTTTGCTTATGTGTACTTCATCATCTAAGATTTTAAGAAGCATGAGAGTGTCCATCTTTTAGAAGAAGACTAGGTGTTCGAGAGAAACATAGTCATTAACATTTAAGTATTTGAGAGAAAGTTAAGAAATGGGATATAATTAATAGCTATAGCCTAATCCCTTAGTACTTGAGAGAGATTAAGCTAGGATTTCTACCAATAAGAGGGGTAGTGTGTTTTTAACAAGTTAGTTGCCATTATTGAGACTAAGAGGAGATGTGGAATTCTAAGCTATTAGGTTCTTAGACTAGAGATAGCTAAAACACTTTTAGCAAACTCCGTCGAACTAGTAAAGCATAAGAGGTCTTAATCAACCTTAGAGGTAAGTATTTAGCTTCTTGAGTGACTCCCCACTAATCATTCCCGAAGTAGTTTCTCGTGTGAGGATAATCAAGTTATTGTATTTATTTTTTGTTTTTGTCATTCTGCATTACCTTGACATTTTCACCCATTTAGACTATAAACATCTCCATTGCCATGACATCACATTTGTTCACTCATTCATATTTATTCACCATCATTCCACCCTATAGTCACGATTCCTTTACCTAGGCATTATCATTGTAATTATCATTAATATACTTAGATAATTTAGTGTATTGTTATGTCCAAACTCATAAACTCCACCAATCACTAAGGACGATACTCACTCATCATTATATTAATTTTGTGATTGTTTATACTTGCATATTAATTGCGTATAATTTTATAATACTCATAACACGGAATAAGTTTTTGGCGCTGTTGTCGGGGATTAACAACATGATGTTAATTAGTTTGTCATAGCATTTTATTTTTCTTATTTATTCTTTAGTATAGTTTACTTGATATTTTTACTTTATCTTTTTTAGGATTACTTGGTGTATGGCCATAGGACATTCTGACGAGTCATTGATACTAATTGAACCTGAAATCGAAAGAGTCTTCAGACAAAGGAGACGTGCTCAAGAAAATATGTATTATATTGCAAATCAAGGCATTGGTCAAGAGGGAGATCAGAATGTCGAGACAACTCCAAATGTTGGGCATGCTGCTAGGCCTCGTGTTATTCGTGACCATCTGAATCCTATATTGGATGACTTGAATCTAGGGATTGTGACACTGGAAATTCGGGTATCCCATTTTGAGCTCAAATCATTCATGTTCAATATGTTGAATTCTATAGGTCAATTTGGGGGCATGCCAAATGAAGTTGCAAGGCATCATATTCACAATTTCTTAGAGGTATGTGATTCTTTCCGCCAACATGGAGTACATCAGGATGTGTTGAAATTAAAGTTATTTCCTCACTCTTTGCGTGACTGAACTAGGGCTTGGTTGAGTGGTGTTCTATCTGGTTCGATGGAGTCATTGGATGATCTTTGTAAAAGCTTTTTGTTGTGCTATAACTTGCCAAACATGAACACTCAGCTAAGGAATGACATAACATCCTTTCCTTAGGCTGATGACAAATCTATGTATGAATGTTATGATTGTTACAAGAGTTTTCTTTGCAAGTGTTCTAATCATGGTTTTCAAGACTGGACTCAAGTAGTGATGTTTTATAATAGAGTCAATGCACCCACGAAGATGATGCTTGATGCCTCATCAAATGGGACATTTCTTGACAAATCACCTATTGAGGCATTTGCTATTCTTGATAGGATTGTCAACAATGATTATCAATTTCCTTTCTCAAGGCTTGGAATTAGGAGAAAAACACCTAGGGCATTCGAGTTAGATGCCAAGGACTCTGTGTTCGTTCAACTCTCAGTTATCAGTAATATGTTGAAGAATCTACAACGCTAGACTGAGGTGAAGAAAGTGAAGGTAGCCAATTCAATATGTCTGTTATGCCTTGGAAATCACCACGAGAGTGAGTGCTTGATTAATCATGAGTTCGTCAACTATGTCAGTAATTTCAATCGAGACAATAACAATCCTACTCCAATACCTACAATCCAGGGTGGCGTCAACACCCTAACTTCTCATAGGGAAATCAATAAGCCCCTAATTCTAATCAACCTACTCACCAACAAAATTTTGCTGAACCTCAAGGCTACCAAAATCCTACGCCATGGCATAATACTAACAAGGGAGCCCAATCTTCATCTAATATAAGTTATTTGGAGGCCACGATTCAAGACTTCATAGCTACCACTAAGACAATGTTGCAAGACCATACTATATCAATGAAAAATTAAGGAGTTTTACTTCATATTCAAGGCGCCTTACTTCAAAGTAATAACTCGTCTCTAAGAGCTTTGGAAGGTCAAGTTGGTCAGATTATCCTGACATTGCAAGAGCGTCAACAAGGACGTTTACCAAGTGACATTGAAGTCACTAAATCACATGGCAATGAACAATGCAATGTATTAACTCTTAAGAGTGGTACTCAGATTGACCAACAAGTTAAGTTTGGGGGAAAGCAGTAGAATGATTCTACCCCCACTTCTGAGTAAACTGAAACTAAATTACAAGATGAAATCATTGTCAAGAAAGACAAGGATGAGGGTTCTACTAGTGAACCTACCGAGCTACTAAATACCTATGCCAAGGTAAAAGATATTCATATTCCCATAATTGAGGAAGTTAGATCCCTACCGCCCTTCCCGAAAAGATTGAAAAAGCACAATGATGAAGTCCAATTCAAAAAGTTTGTTGACATTCTTGATCAACTTTATATTAATGTACCTCTTTTGGAAGCCATCAAGCAAATACCTACTTATGCCAAGTTTCTTAAGGAGATTTGTACCAAGAAGAGGAAAGTTGAGAAGTTTGAGACAGTTGCCATGGAAAAAATATTGCTCCGCATTGAGCAAGCTATTGATCTGGGCAGTTTCATTATTACATGTTCTATATGAGCTAATTTTGTTGGAAAAGGCACAATGCGACTTTGGTTCAAGCGTGAACTTAACGCGAAAATCTATATTCTTGAAGCTTGGTATGGGAAATGGCAAACCTACCTCTGTGATTCTACAACTTACCGATCGATCCCATGTTCTTCCTAAATGGAGAGTCGAGGATGTCATAGTGAGGGTTGATGGATTTTTTTTCCCTGCCGACTTTCTTATTCTTGATTATGAAGTTGATGCCAATGTGCCCATTATCTTGAGTAGGTCTTTCTTAGCCACTGGTCGTATTTTAAAGGATTACAAAAAGGGTAAACTCACCACGAAAGTGGCTGACCAGTGTGTGGCTATCAATGTTTTTCGTACTCTCAAGTATGCTCATGACTCAGAAGAACGCCAAGGAATTTTTGACGTGAATTCATTAATGGAAGAGGAAATCGAATAATTTTTCCAAAGTAATTTCATTCAGCTGGCAGATTATAAGCGTCTTATAATTGAGGAAAGCATAGAGGAGCGTGATGAATTACCATCTTGAGAGGAGCAATCTAGCTTAGTACTAGCTAGATCAGCTATGCACTTTGAACCCCTTGATTTTGATGAATTTGTTCCTCTTAAACCATCATTTCAGCATGCACTTACCCTATAGCTAAAGCTTTTCCCAGGGCATCTTAAATATGCTTATTTGGGTAGTGATAATACTTTAACTATGATTATTTCCTCTAGCCTTACTCCTGATCAAGAGAAAAGTTTGTTAAGTGTTTTGTTACAACATAAGAAAATACTTGGATGGAAGATGACTGATTTAAAGGGATTAGTCCCACTATTTGCATGCATAAGATTATGCTGGAAGAATGTCATGGAAACTCTATAGAGCCACAATGAAGACACAACCTAGTCACGAAGAAAGTGGTGATGAAAGAAATAACTAAATGGCTTGACGCTGGAATGATTTACCCCATAACTAATTGCTCATGGGTAAGCCTTGTCCAATGTGTCCCCATGAAGGGTGGCACAACTGTGGTGACTAATGGGGAGAATGAGCTACTGCCCCCGTGCATTGTCACATGATAGAGGATATACAAGGACTATCGTAATCTCAACAAAGCTACAAAGAATGACCATTTTCCTCTACCTTTCATTGATCAAATACTGGATCGATTGCCAGGCAAGGCATTTTATTACTTTCTGAATGGGTATTCTGGTATAATAAAATTGACATCGCATTAGAGGATCAAGAGAAGACCACATTCACATGTCCCTATGACACTTTTGTTTTTAGTAGAATGCCTTTTAGACTCTGTAATGCCCATGTTCCTTTTCAACGTTGCATGCAAGCTATCTTTTTTGGTATGGTTAAGGATTTCCTTGAGATATTCATGGATGATTTATATGTTTCCGGAGATGACTTTGAGAGATGCCTAGGCAATTTGGAAAAAGTTTTAAAGTGTTGTGAGGAAGCTGATCTAGTTTTGAATTGGGAGAAATGTCACTTTATAGTGACTGAATGTATTGTGTTATGGCACAAAATATCCCACAAGGGCATTGAGGTGTATAAGGCTAAGATTGAAGTGATTGAAAAATTGCCACTACCTAGCTCTACCAAAGGTATTAGGAGTTTCCTTGGACACGCTGGCTTTTATAGAAGATTCATCAAGGACTTCTCTAAAATATCTAAGCCCTTATGCACATTGCTTCAACAAAACCATCCCTTTCTATTCGATAAGTTTTGTCTTGTCGCATTTACCGAGCTAAAGAAAAGACTGATCTTAGCGCCAATTATAGTTCCTCTCGACTCGACATCACCATTCGAGTTGATGTGTGATGCAAGTGATTATGTCGTGGGAGCTGTTATGGGCAACACCAAGGTAAAATTTTCCATGTCGTATATTATGATAGTCGTACCTTGAACGAGGCACAAATGAACTACACAGTCATCGAGAAGGAATTACTTGTTGTGGTATTTCCATTTGATAAGTTTAGGCCATACTTAATAGGCACCAAGGTTATTGTTCACACTGATCACTCAGCTATGAAATATTTAGTAAACAAGAAGGATGTCAAGCCTATACTTATTAGGTGGATCTTACTATTGCAAGAATTTGATCTAGAGGTTGTAGATCGAAAAGGTACTGAGAATCAAATGGCAGATCAATCTAGGTTAGAAAGCAATTTTGAATGCCATGACATTTTAGACATTCAAGAGGAATTTCCTAATGAGAAAATATTATATGCCACAATAATTTTGTGGTACACTGACATTGTTAATTTTCTTGTTAGTGGTATTTTGCCTTTTGAATTAAATAGCCAGGGAAAAAAGTTCAAGCATGATGCAAGGTTCTACTTTTGGGATGAGCCATATCTATTCAAGCATTGCGTAGACCAAATCATAAGAAGGTGTGCACATGAAGAGGAGCAGCAGGACATTCTACACCATTGTCACACTGCCCCATGTTGAGGCCATTTTGGAGGACCAATGACCACTTCCAAGTTTCTTCAATCAGGCTTTTATTGGCCAACAGTTTTCAAAGATGCTCATGTATTTTACAAGTCATGTGATCGATGCCAACGTACTGGTAACATCTCCAAGCGGTATGAAATGTCATTGTAAAATATTTTGGAGATTGTATTTAATGTTTAGGTTATTGATTTCATGGGATCATTCACATATTCTTTTGGAGACTTGTACATTATAATTGATGTGGATTATGTATCTAAGTGGGTGGAGGCTATTGAAACTTCAAAGAATGATTCCAAAATTGTGCTTAAGTTTGTGCACAATAATATATTTACATGGTTTGGAGTGCCAAAAGCTATCATTAGCAATGAAGGAACCCACTTCGATAACAAATTGATTGCCAAGACATTGAAAATGTATGGAGTTCGTCACATAATTGCCACAACATATCATCCACAAACGAATGGCCAATTTGAAGAATCCAACCGCGATATAATGCAAATCTTAGAAAAAAATGGTGAATCCAAGGTAGAAGGATTGGTCGCCAAAGTTAGTGTTGGGACCATCGGCACACCCCATGGAGCAGCGGAAACAAAACTCGACGGTCTCACCAGCGATCCAAGTACGAAAAACTGAAATCGGGAAGAATGGATACGAATACTTACAGCGGGTTCCTTGAAAAACAACAGGGACAACAGTGAATACTGGTGGTGTAGATCGGTTCGAATCGTAAGCCTCCACGAAATCACGTCTCGGCCTCAACTCAGTTCACCCGATTGAGAGCAATATTTTTCTTCCTCAAAACAGTTTTTGAGAGAAAAACGACTGAAGGTTTTGTGTGTTTTTTCTAAAACGGCTGCTAGACCTAACACACCCTTTTATAGCCAAGTTACCCTAATCATATTAGGGTTTTATTATTTCAAATTAATTAAATCTATATTTAATAATTAGAATTTAATAATCCTTTTATATCCAAGTTACCCTAATCATATTAGGAATTTTATTATTTTAAATTAATTAAATCTATATTTAATTAATTAAAATTAAATATTTGGGATTATTGAAACATATATTTAAACTCTAGATATATATTTTAGTAACGTACAACAAATTGTACATATTTGCTCGTTTCAATCCTAGGGTGTGACCTTGTAGGTTCTTGTAACGTTAGCAGTAATTATTAGAACAATTCTAATATTACATACAATGAGTGACATCTAGCAATATATCATTGTCGCCTAAGTTATAAGAAAATATGATTCAACATATCATCTTGGTGATTAACTCTTTTATGTATTACATCCTTATGTCATTTATATCTAGAATAGGCATAAGTCTTGGAATAGTCACACTTGTATAGCCAATCTATTGTTTCTTGATATCTAGAGTAGACTTTAATTAACGAATATTTTATGATATCTCATATCAACTTATTCGAGCATGACCATGCATTTCTATTCTCACTCAATCAAGTGGCCTGTGATATATTTCCTATTATGTAAGAATGACAAATCTATCTTAATCATACACACCCACTACATATATCGAGATATATTCAATAATAATCTTTATAGAGCAACCAGTTACGGAGCATGTTTAGCTGCATCAAAACATACAACAATATATGTTGGGATAGTATTGATCTCAAGTCGAGGATCATACATCTAGTCATCACCATGAGCAATGTTATGACTGTCACATAATAATCCAAGACATATGCTCATGGTCGGTCAATCCAATACATTGTTCTCTAACAATATGTATCAATTCTAACATCTCTATATCAATGACAACTCATTGTCATCAATCAATAACATGTTAGTCTTAAGCGTATTATTATTGTTCATGCCCATAATAATACTTGACTAGGGATCTTTTAATAATAACAATTATGTCATTATATGGACTTTATTATCTTTCAGTTTATGTTAAACACATATATAAAAATGAAAATAATAGCGGCAATGCCTTTATTCAATAAAATCGGTAAATAAAAGTATTATTACAATCATCATATGATTGGTCTTTGGGCATACTCTAACAGGTAGATGAAGCACTTTGGTCATATAGAACAACATTTAAGACTCCTCTAGGCATGTCTCCCTTTAATTTGGTGTATGGAAAGGTCTTCCATCTCCCTGTTGAGTTGGAACACCAAGCATATTGGGCCATTAAAAAGCTCAATTTTGATGTTCAACTAGTTGGGAAGCAAAGACTGCTTGAGCTTAACGAGATGGAAGAATTCATAGCAAAAGCATATGAGAATGCCAAGTTGTATAAAGAAAAGACTAAAAAGTGGCATGACCATATGGTAATGCCAGGACATTTTCATGTTGTCCAGCATGTGCTACTTTATAATTCAAGGCTTAGGCTCTTTCCTGAAAAGTTCAAATCTAGATGGTCAGGACCATTTGAGGTGCATTATGTCTACCCACATGGGGCAATTGATATAAAAAAATATGGATGATGAGACGATCTGAAAGTTTATAATGGAGCCCCGCCCTTGAGCGACAAATTGGTGCTTTACTTGCACGATGTCTGAGTCTGCCCTCGTGAAACAACTTTAAATGCTATGTCATTGTTACTTGCTTCTTGTGCATAAGTAAAACAAGCATTTTTTTTATTTTTTTATTTTTATTATTTTATTACATGTAGATATTTACAATTTGTTTTATATTGTAGGGGCCCACCTCTCGTACAAAGGATGTGACGATTATGCTTGGGAGAAAAGAAAAAATGGAAGAATTAACCTTAATTTTTTGGATGGGGAGAAAATGGAAAAAATAAAGGAGGGAATAATTCTTTTTATTTATTTTCTTATTTAATTCTTGTCTTTTCTTTTACTTTGCATTTATTTTACCTTTCACCTTCTTAAATTACCATATCCACTCATTCTCTATCTTAACAGCTTGCTACCTTTTTTTCCTTTTTATTTTCTTTCATTTTATTTATTTCAACCTCTCATCATCTTTTTCTCTCTTTTCTTTAGCCGATACCATTGTTCAAGCTCTCAACTTTGTGTTTTCTTATTCTTTCACACAAGCTCCTATGGTGCGTACGAGACCTTCAAGTTCTGAAGTTTCCCTTTCTCAACAGTTTGTGGGCGATGAGGCAAATGAGAGATTCCAGAAGTTGAAAATTGTTTTTGAGTTGGGTTTTGTTTTCACCGAAAAATAAGATAAAGGTTTTGGGTCAGATTTCATGAACATCGTCGAGCCTCACAGGTGGCAGAAATTTGAGCGTCATCCTGGCAACGTCAATGCATCCTTGGTGAAAGATTTTTACGCTAACATTTCAAAGAAAACCAACATGCAATTGTTGTTATAGGTATATCCATTCGATTTACACATTGTCGATCAACATGTTGCATTTGAGAAAGAGGTCGATAATAAGAATTATGATGATATTCTTGAGGATCTATGCTTCTCTAACTCAAAGTCGAATGGACACCAAGCTAATCATTTTTCAATAAATCGGGTGCATCTTCAACCACGTGCAAAGCTCTAAAGTTGACATTCCTTAGAAGTTTGTGGTCGATGAGGCAAATGAGAGTTTCCAAAAGCTGAAAAATTTAAAGCTTTTTTTAGAGTTGGGTTTCATTTTCACCAACGAACAAGATGGAGGTTTTGGGCTGGATACATCATCGAGCCCCACAAGTGGCAGAAATTCGCGCGTAATCTTTGGTGAAAGATTTTTACGCTAACATATCAAAACCAAACCAACATGCAATTTTTGATAGAGGTGTATCCATTCAATTTACACCTTCAGCAATAAATCAGTATTTTCACTTGTAGGATGCAGTCGATCAACATGTTGCATTTGAGAAAGAGGCCGACTATAAGACTTATGATAATATTCTTGAGGATCTATGCTTCTCTAACTCAAAGTGAAATCACTTCATGAAAAACAAGTTTATGCAAACATCCCACAATACAACGATAATGTTGTCTCGCATAATGTTGCTACACTCTATTATGGTTACATATTTGATTGATATTGGTCGCGTTATTTTGGACTAAGTTCACGCGTGTTTAGAAAAAAATATAGTTCTTTTGTGTACCCAAATCTCATCACGACATTATGCCGCAAAAAGAATGTCGTTGAAAGCAAATTTGATGAGATTTTATCCGGAGTGTCGGGCATTACGAGAGCATCACTGCTAACTCTTTTGGGACTAGTAAAACCCAAGTTTAAGGTAGCCGTCTGAGGATGTTGAACCCTAAAATATCAAGGCAAGGATCCTTACTATCGAGGAATTTATCCAACACACAAAGACTCACTTGGCAGTTCTAACGAGAGATATCAATAATTTCTTTGGTTATATGAAACAAAGGGATGTCGTGGTGGAATCAATCTTCAAAGTGATTATCCCTCATATGGGCCACAACTTCCCATGTTTTCCTAATAAAATCCTACCAGCATTCGATGATGCCGAAGCATTTTCGAACATCCCCCATCATGAAAACACCCCAGAGCCCAAGGATACTGATCCAATCAAAGTTGCATCTGAGCAAAACCCTGTGACCCAACCCCAAAACCAAGTTATAATGGAGGAGTCATTGAGTGAAGCCCCCAGCCAAATTGTAATGTTGAGGCATTCTTTTTCATGTTGTTCTAAACACTGACTCAAAAGCTCTGTTGGACCGGTAGTGTATCAACCCGGAATAAAATTTAGAGAAAAAAAATTTAATTAAGTAATTTGGCAAAATTTGATGATTAAATCGGAAGTTTTCAAAATTGTAGGCCATTTTAGAAGTTAAAGGAAATTCAGGGACCAAGCCCTGCATTACTCCTTTTAGTGTCGGCAGAAAATTTAATATAAACTTATGAATGGTTTTCTGTTTTCAAAACAGAAAACAATTGTGAAATTCCTCCTCCCGCACTCTACTTCAAAGCCGATTCCGACGCCGTTCGACGTCCAATCGTAAAATTGAAACCACCGTTGTGTTCATCATCAAGCGAGGAACAAACCCTTCAAATTAATTGAAGTGAAACGCTGCCAAACGTCGGGAATTTTCAGTCAAAGCATCGTCGTTTTTTTTAGCTCTATCGTCGGGAAAAACATAAATTCACCGCCGATCGTTGTTCCGTTTACGACACCTCCTGCACCATCGTGTTCCTTGTGTCGTTGCGAGTCCGCCGGTGTCAACCTTATTCGCCGTCGACGGCGGCGCGTGAGGAGGTGGAGCAGTCAAAGGTTCGGCCGAGTTGAAATACGAGCTCTCCGCCGTTCAAAAATTTGAACCGATCGTTGTAAGTATCTCGAAATCGCTCAAAATAATTTTTAGAAATTTTTCCGGGAATTTTCCGACACCGTGGCACTGTTCATGCGCCGCACGCGCCGCCGCAGGGAGAGTGAGCTGCTGGAAAACCGGTTTGACCAGTTTTGAACCGGTTCGAACCGGTTTGACCGGTCTGAACCGGTTTGACCGGTCTGAACCGGGGTTGACCCGACCCGACTGTTGACCCGACCGTTGACCGTTGACCGTGACCGTTGACTTTCTTTGACTAAAACTTAAAATGGCTTTGACCGACCCTTAAACGACCGTAAATCTTTTCCGAGTATACCTATCCTGATAGTTTTCGACGTGCCAAATCCATTTCCGCAGTCCGTTTCGCCAAATTCAAACCCGAAGGTCTCCAAATCTACGGTCAAAGTGGTTGACTTTGACTTTAACCAAGAATCTGAATTTCCGAAAAGTCATACTTTATATTTTTCGACGTCCTGATTCCGTTTCCGCAATCCGTTTGGCCAAATTCAGACTCGAAATACCCCAAATTGATAGTCAAACTCGAAAAATGCTTATATACTTAAGAAGACTAGCTTTGAACAATTAAATAGGATTTGGGACTGATAGATTATTATTGTTTGAAGGTACAAGAGACTCTCCGGATCGTTCGACAGGTCGACCCAGCTCTTCTAGATCAGTTAAACCACGTGTGCCAGTATTCACCCGTTCGAAAATTGTAGCAGAGCGTGGTGAAACCAGCAATCAGTAAATTTGCTATTTTGAACCTATTGTCGAGGTGTGTTCCCTGCTTATTATTGAACTGTTTTATTGGTTTTAATATGTGGTACACCGAATTCATTGGCTATTGTTTTATGGATGCACCAATTTAATGTGACAATTTATGGAATATGGCTGCTATCTAATTTTTGTTTTGAAATGGTATATGATTACCATGTTTTTGGATTGATGGAATTTATGTCACGGTGCAATTGAATTTTGGAATTGAAATACGATGGAATAGCTCTGATCAAGCTAACTGGGCCTAATGTGACTCTTGAGGGCCCCAAGATGTTTCATTATGTCGGCTTTCCTTTGCTGTGTGCTTAGGGTAAGCTATATGGACTTATTGACTTGGGCTTAAGGATACAAGCTTCAGAGCCTATCCTTAAGTCGGCTTTCTTTTTGCTATGTGCATAAAGTAAGCTATATGGAAAATAATTTTGGCAACTACTGATGGTGTACCAGAAAAGGGTTTAAACTATGATTTTCAAAAAGTTAAACTCTTTTACGAATTTGTGAGATTACTGGACTATGATTTGTATCTATTGTGATTTTATGGATATGTTGGGACACACTGAGCCTAGCTCACCTTTTGAAAATGTTTTCCCCTTTCAGATATTGTTGGTTAGATACCTTGGTACGAGCACTTGGAGGATCAACATATCTCCTGAAGTAAATCAAATTGTAATGTTTTTATCTGGCAAGTTGACTTTATTTTGGTGACATGGACCTTATTTTAAAATATCAGATTTTATAATGATAACTCTTTTGCTAATACTGCTCGGTTTATTGTGATATTGAATTTGAAGATGTGTTTTAAATTAAATTATTATTTATTGGTACTATATTTACGAGTTGGATTTTGATAGTATAATTTGTTTATAATTTCATGTTATTTACAATGTGATTTTATATTGATGGAATAACGGTTTCGAAAAATGTCTTTAAAAATCATAATGTGATCCACTAGACTTAGTCGAAACGCATAGGCCGGGTCTAGGGGATTACATTTATTGGTATCAGAGCTTTTGGTTTTTAACCCTCGGACTGTGTATGAGTCCACATTGAAAATACAGTTTTAAAATATTTTACAAAACGAGTTACTAAGGCCATGTCACAAAGTTATTAAGATTTTAACTATGTTCGAGACTCCAAGTGCTTATCTAACCTTAAGTTTATCTTCTGTAGTAATCTCGAGATCTACCAAAATGAGTGCTAGACGTGGTCGTCGAACTAGTCGTGGACGAGGTCGAGTAACTAGATTTGCAGATCTGATTGATGAGATACGAGTAGATCCCCCACCTCCAATAGGTGATCATGCTCCTACGACACCAACGAATATGCCACCTACCGATGGTATTGGCATGACTACACCGATCATAGGAGCGGCCGATATTGAGTCAGAGTCTACTGGAGTTGCATTGGATGAGAATTTTAGTAGACAGTTTCTGCAGTTAATACAGGGAGCAGTTAGAGCTACTGGTGTTGTATCTGAGGTTCCTATTTCACAGACGTTGATTTCCAATGGAGTTAGAACTTTTGGGGGACAGATTGGTGGAGCTCCTACTGAAGCTGAGGATTGGCTCCAGGATACAGAGAGACGCATGGATCAGTTGGGTTTGGACTCAACTAAGAGACATCTGGGTGCTGTAGCAATGTTAGATGGTAATGCCTACACTTGGTGGGAGTCAGTGACCAGTAGTGTTCCTACCGATCGTTTGACCTGGAATTTCTTTAAGGATCGCTTTCGGAGTCGTTTTCTGGGAGAGCGCTACTT